TATTACAAATATATGATAAATGTCTTAAATATTATTTATACTTCTATGAATAAAACTATTTTTATAATACTTCATATTATTATTTTTTCTCTCTCACTATTTTGATGCTCTAAAAATGTTTAGTAAAAGTAGTGAATTTATGGTATCCGACTACGTTCGGATCCGTGATTTTGCAAAGCGCAAAAATGGATAATTTTCAGGACATTTAGTGTCCCTTAGATTAGAATACATGCATAAAATTGTTTTGAGGACATTTTGACAAAAAAAATTATTTAAATATAATATTTTGGCAAAATATAAACTTAGAATAATCTTTTTTCCAAATGTTCTCCTTTTGTGAAAAATGCTTCTATTATAATAATATTTTGTCTGTAGATAGCTCAGACCTCTCTACAGAGGCTGCATTAGAATTTTTGAAATATATAACTTAGAAGTGGGTTTATTCACATTTTACGACAACAGAGAGGAGCAATTTTAAGAAAAAAACGCCAATAATTATTTCAATTGGTGGTAACTCTGAAAATAATGTGAATTTTTCAAAAATTCTAGTTGAGCGTCTGAAGAGCTATCTGAGCTATATACAGGCAAAATATTATAATAATAGAAGCATTTTTCACAAAAGCAAAACATTTGGAAAAAAGATTATTCTAAGTTAATTTTTTGCCAAAATATTATATTTAAATAAAGGCTTTTGGTCAAAATGTTCTTAAAACAATTTCATGCATATATTCTAATCTGAGTGACACTAAATATCATGAAAATTATTCATTTAAGCGCTTTATTAAAACCACGGTTCCAAACGTAGTCAGATACCTTAAACTGATCATTATTTTTTTTATCCTGAATATTTGAATCTCTTTCAAACAAATGATATGATAATGCATTATAGTAAGTAGTAAAAGTACAAATGAAAGATCACATACTAAGGATTGACATATATGTTAAACGGGATTATTCTAATTTTCATATTATTTAGGTTCTTTTTGTAAAATAATATGTAAACGTCTCTCTCTCTCTCTCTCTATTGATAGAAATATAATTTCTCAATTATGTACAATTAAAAAATATTAATAATTTTGCCAAATCAAATAAACTTAAGAACTATGAAAAAATTTCCAAAAACACTGTACTATTAATTTACAAAAGTTTTAAAATTCACAAATGTTTTCCATAATAATTTATTGCCTTATTTTAAAAAAATACATATTTTACTGAATATAAATGGTGATTCCGTTACATTACATAGAAATAATGTTTTAAAAGGAAATTGTTTCATGTAAAGATTACATTTAAAAAATTTTAAACTGAGCTTTAATAGTTTATTAAAATACTTAAGAAATTTTATTTCTTTTTTAATAAAATTTAATTATTTTTTTTACAAATTGAATTACATTAGCGTCTTTCTGTCTACAGTAAGACACTCAATTTTTTTTTATTTCTTCATTCTATTCATGTTTTATTCTTTGTTTTTTATTGAATGGATATACGCCTATCTATTTACATTTTGTAATAGATATGAGTACATTACTTTATTATGAATTCATTTGATTTTTAAACTTATAAACAGATAAAAATTTAACTGGCTATTGAGACACTTGTCTTAACTCTTATAAATCATTTCTAATAACTTGGAATTAAACAAGACTTAATACAATTATAGAGCTAAAAAATACTTAAATAGTTAAAATTATTGATATAAACTCCCAATTTATGTGTATGTATGCTTTATGTATTTGTATTTAGAAAATTTTTTGTGATAATTTTTTCTTATATTCTTCATTGTATAATTTTAGTGTTGATTATCTCTGTTTGCATGTAAGCAATCTTGTATTTAATTCTGTATTTGTTGTATTTGTATCCACTCCCCCCCTTTTGGTTCCCATTTGTGCCTATATCTTTCTACATGTAATTTTCATTGTTTTGAGTATTGACTTACGTTTGTAAGCCTTGTGTTATACTTGTCGGCACACAAGGAGTCTAACTAGTCTCAAAAAAAAAACTCAATTTCTTTTATAAAATGCAAAAGTACGATTAATTAGCTGTCTGTTATAAAATTTTGGTCTAGTAAAAGCAATAATATTCTGTAAATATCTATTAAACATTTTTATTTGTAATATTTACGTACTACTGCATGAGTATTTGCTTCTTTCTCTTCAAAAAAAGTAATAAACAGTTTTGCATTACATTTCTATTGTAACTCATATAAGTGTAAATAAATTTGGAGGTTTTTTTTGTCTGGGATAACCGCATTTTAAAAAATTGTAAAAGAAATTAATTATTATTATCTTTTCAAGTTTTTAAAATTTTATATTGTAAGTCCTAGCGTGCTACTGTTACAACTCCGCCGTGCTTCACTGTAGCTCGCGTGCCGAGGGTTGGCCACTCCAACGTTACTTGACTATAGTTCAAAATTACGAAAAACTGTCACCAGTAACTCTTCTAAATGTGACATTACTCTCGAACATAATAGTTTTTTGAAGTAATAAACGCTACAATTATATGAAATAGCTTCAATATCTTTGTGTAGCTATTTTATTTAATTTTTCAAAATATTCCACGTCTTTTTAGAAAATAATTGAGTATTTCGAAAATGAGAAAATTTATTGTGGATTAGGTACGCATTTCTATTAAAAGCATGCATGTTTTGTTTTGCCACATTTTTTTTAGAAAAAAAAAGCTATATGAATTTTACTTATAGTTAAATATCATGATTGCTATCCTGTTAATTCGTAATAATCGAAAGATCAATGTAAGAAATTCTTACGCTGATAGACATGTACGTACACATACTCACTACATGACATTAAAAATGTCGCATAATTAGACCATATTTGATTCAGAATGATGCGCACATCAGATATGGTTTTGTGTTTCAATAAGATTCTCTATATATCTTCAGTACTTATTATCGTTCATATTTACTACAGTTTTTCACCGAAAAACTGAAATGGCAAAGGAAGAGATGAATAACAATTCCAGTATATGCAAAAAAAAAAAAAAATGTTTATTGGGTGAAGACACAGGCTTAGTGGAGGTTAATTTATATAAAGAAATAAGTCATCCCTTTTCCAGAATTAATTCGGGAAAATTTGTGTCCCGATGGATCTTGGAAGTGGTGTCCTGGAGCATGCCAAATTACGTGGTCCGTCGCCAAAAGCCCTCGTGTAGCTGAACAGTGCGACGTTAATATTAACTCACTCACTCACCCTGGAGCATGCCAGCTCTACCAGAAAAGAAATCACTTGATGGGATTACCCTGACATCAAGCACGTTTAAGTAGTCCAGTGATTTCATTTTATTCCCACATGATGTTGCGGTTTTCACATAAGACCTTTTGATGGAACCTTAGATCAAAATACTGGGCCCATTTGCCAGCTCAGTGCATATACATGAAAAGCCCAACATTTCATGAGGTTCCCTTCTGAATCTAATGCGCCCATTGTTTCAAAATAATCTTAACCTAGATCAGTGCTTCTCAAACTTTCAATATTTGCGACCCAATATTCAATCATAATTTTCATCCCCCACCTCCAGATAATAACAATGTATTGAAATCAATACTAATATACTTTGATGCAAACGCTACAATACGACTTGAATCTCTTAGTATCACCAGCGTATTTAAACGCCTCGCTCAGCCAGTGCTTTAATTACCCCGGGCGTATATATACGTTTTCCCGAAGGCTTTGGAATGCAATAAACTTATTTATTCCTTTTCTACTCCCCCTACCAATACACCACTTGCGCTAGCTTACGTGTTAAACGGTGGCATTGGAGAGAGAATCACGTAATTTTTTTAATCGGCATTCAAGGGATTAACTAAAAAGCATTCAAATTACCAAGATAAGTGCTAATTTGTGCATATAACTTTATATATGACAAGCCCGTGGGGGGTCGCTGATAATTATTAAACTAGTTCTTAACTTAGTATTGTTAAATTAATTATAAAATATTATATTGCGCAGCACTGATATCATTAAAAGTGTATTATAACAGTGTAAACGTGTATTTTATTTTTTATTATGTCAGAATGATTTTGTTTGTTTGCTTCCAGTAAATTAATAATTTTTTTAAAATAATCTTTTGTTTTCGATTTTTTAATATGCTCGCGTCCCCTCGTTAGTTTATCACGACCCTCTAGGGGGCGCACATCACAGTTTGAGAAACGTTGACCTAGACTCATCAATGGCAGCATGGAAATCGTGTATTACTGAGCCAATCAGGGGCTGATATATATCTTTCATCAGTTTGAAGTCGCTAGATGTTCTACAATCTAAAAATAGTTTGATACAAAAAAAAATATCTGCATAACATTAGATGGAAATTTTTTAAAACGTATTTATATAATATCATTACAAAATAATTTTATATTAAAGGAAAGATTAATTCATAAAAAATAAATGAAGATTAGGTATCCGTTGTTAGTATCCCTATGTGTTGTTCTGCTACGAGATTAATACAAAAAAAAATTAGTTAAAATTTTTACCATTGAATGCAATGTGGCATATAAAATGTAATAGTTTTCCTTATATGTAGTATAAAAGTTTTTTTTCCTCTCTTTGTAATGTTTTAGGGAGTTTATATTGAAAAAGTGAAAAGAATAAGCGAAATACATTGAATGAAACTAAAACTTACACAGATCAAACAAATATTCCACTGAGCACTCAATCGAGGAGGAGAGTGAGCAGATATGTAAAAAGTAATATTAAAAAAAAATTAAGGTCAAAATTCCTACTTAGATCAACATAATTTTTTTTTTATTTTAGTTACTTTTTATTAAATAGTTACAATTAATACAAATATGTACATACATGTGACAGAATTACAATATTCAAAGACAAAATAGAAAGCGATTTTCCTTGCAATTTTCCATTTTCCTCTCTATAAATGGTGCTGAACTATCTTTTGTTTGTTTGGAATTGTTTATTCATTAATTAAATTTAATTATTCTAATAAAATAGTATAGTAAAAAAAATAAATCACATTCTCATCAATTAGACCGTCCTAGGTGAGATTCGAGCCCACGACCTTTGAATAAAAAGTCCAACGCGCTAAGCATTGCGCTACAGGGACACAGAAACAATTTTCCTTTCTATAAATCCTGTTGGGCTATTATTTTTGTTTTTCACTATTTATTCATTTTTTAAATTTAACTAATGAATCAATATTTGAAAAAACTGTATTAACATCAAGTGTCACCTATTACAAGTTTTTAAAAAATGTATTTGAACTTGAATGGATACATAGAAAGTATTTTATTAACGATTGAAAATTTGAACAATATATATATATATATATATATATATATATATATATAGGGAGAGAGTGAACTAATTGTAGGAATTGAAAAATAATCTGTCAGCTTAGAGTTCTTTTACAGTGCTCTATTTCTGGGATTTTCATAGTTTTAGTTCGATGCACCTTCTAGTCTTACACTTCTTCGAAAAGATTAATTGTTCCAATGAACTTTCAAAATCATACTATGCCCCTAATTAGACAATTTTTTAAATTTCTCGATGCTTTATTTTTATGCTGAAAGCTTATTTCAGTAATAAGAATATTTCTGATCAATAATGTATTACTGCTTAGCATGAACTTTTTGTTTGAGCTATCGTCGAACTCAAAATTAGCATACTCCACAGTTTGAAAATCAGAAAAATTTGCATTTGTGATTCTCTTCTTCCATTTTCGGCGAAAAAAATTTCGCTAATATCTTTATTTTATATAAAACTTACAATATCCTTTAATTGTTTTGAGCAGTGTATATATATCAGTGGCGCACACAAGGGGGTGTCCTGTGGGTCTGGAATCCCCCAAAGCCCTTGATTTTTTTCCGATTGATTATAATTCTAAGTACATAGTACATAAAATTTAATTAAATATTTGTTATTAATGATTAATTTGATTAATTAATGCTAATTATTTATTCAATAATTAGTTTTTTCAGTTTTTTTGTTCCGGAAAATAGACAAAATCAAAAAGAGCGTGATACAAGAATGGTGGACTTTCGACCCTGGACCCCCCCGCTTGAAAAATTCCTGTGTGTGCTGCTGATACACACACACACACACACATATATATATATATATACATAAAATATTCTCAACCTCAGTTTTAAGTTTTAAAAAAAGTATAGTGTGCTACATAAAGAATAACTAATGTTTTAATGTTTCTCAACAGCGTTTAGCAATGCAAGGAAAGTAAACGAAATGTTAATTAAGTTAATTTAGTCATATACTTGCAAGACCTTAATTACTTTAATTTAAATTTTATCTATTTTTAGATGATAAAAAGGAAAAGAAAAGTAGAGCATTTGGTTTTTACCACTTATTTTAACTACTTCAAATGAATACAGCAAATAATGTCGTTATATTTTCTTATTCATTTTAATAAATTATTTTCTGCTTAATTATACGACAAAGCACTTAAAAATCAAATAAAATTATATTTACTTCAAATAATTATTTTCTGAAAACTAATAAAAAGTAAACACAAAATCCCTTTCGAATGGCTCTGAAAATAATCATGGAAATAGTCATACCAGCACTGGGGGCATAACGTTCTCGCTATTGTTCTCTCTACGCACACTCACATACTACAAAATTTAATTAGATATATAAGGGGTAGAAATTTTTTTTCTTTTTCAGTTAGACAAAAGTGAGCATCTACGATTTGTAATAAGACTTTATGAATAATGCAGGAAAACGAAAACAGAAATCCTAAAAATAAAAATGTAGTGGCCAAAAAAATAGAAAAGCTTCAAATGAAACACGTAGAGTCCAAAAAATGAAAAATGCTTGAAATTAATTTTTGATTGTGAAGCAAGAAATTAAACAGATGAAATTGCAAAAACGTATTTAAATCGTGAAAAAACATTTCTGTGAATTAAAAAAATTTTTTTATAGCATTTCTCTTTGTAAACCTCAAATAATTTTTAAGGAAACTGTAAAATCAAATATACCCTTAGTATACCTTTGTAAACAGTGAATTTCGTTACATTATCTACTTTTTGAATGGCAGGTGAATTTCAAAGATAACGTTTTGAGGGTAGTATTTCGTATTAAACAGTTTAATTGTAATTGATATCATTGACTAGAAATTTCCAATTTTCGGATATGTTACTTTAATCTTGTCACATTTTTAAAGAAAGTTAGACAAAAGAACTAACATTGTTCCAAAAAAAAGATGTCTATATAAAGAAAATAACCTGTTGTTGTTGTTACTTATCCTCTTTATAGATCTGACGCAAGTCAGATCAACTCCATTAGGTTGTTGACCGTCAAAAAGTCAATGGCTAGATGTGGAACAGATGTTAAGTCCTCTTTGGAAAGTCCGACGCAATTCAGAATGTGCTCCGGAGAGGCTGGATAGTCACAGCATTTTTTGCAAGTGGGATGGGCGTCAGATCAACTCCATTAGGTTGTTGACCGTCAAAAAGTCAATGACTAGATGTGGAACAGATGTTAAGTCCTCTTTGGAAAGTCCGACGCAATTCAGAATGTGCTCCGGAGAGGCTGGATAGTCACAGCATTTTTTGCAAGTTGGATGGATTTTTCTTCCACGGTCAAAGAATAGACATTTAAGGCGGCCACTTTTAAGTCTAGCTAATGCAGTCTGAGAGTTGCGATCACATTTAACTTCTAGAAGGATGCCAGGAGATGTTCCGGTATACCAGTGGTGCACAGGCTGAATGCTCAAACTTAAATTTAATTGAGATCTTTCATTAGAGTATAGTTCCTGGTAAGTTAGCGAAGAGCCAGTGGTCGTTTCGTCTTCACTGCCTTTTTTAGACAAACTATCCGCAAGCTCATTACCACTAACGTTCACATGTGATGGGATCCATTGGAGATGGGCGTCATGGTTCTCTGTGTGTGTGTGTGTGTGAAATCTTCTTTAGTTTTAGTTGAATAGATAAACTGGTTTCATCAACTGTAGAGGACCAGTTACTCAGATGTTGAAGTGCACTGCGGCTGTCCGATAAAATCCAAAGTTCTCCAAAATTGATATCATAAGATAGAATAGCATCGAGCCCTTTATTGATCGCAATTAACTCGCTCCTGAAGACAGAACCTGTGTCAGGGTTGGGTTGTTTTAGTGTGGTATCAAGATGAGGGGTTCTAATATAAATAACCTTAAGATTATTAATGAATCTCTTCTCTGTTGAAAAAAGTCTTGAATTACATTTTTATGTGTTTTGACTTATATCTCACGTTGTATGAATGTTGTGGAATGCAAACTAATAAATTAATCAAAATTTTAGAATTATAAAAAGTGATCCCTCTTCATATGTCGGACATTTTTTGAAAAAAAAAAGATGGTTGTTGGAATCATAAAAAAAATTGTGAAAATTGGATATCTTTTCAAAAGTTTGACATAAGCTACTTATGTTGTTGTTGCAAATTCCACCTTATTGGCATGTGCAAGATCGAGGGCCGCGAAATTCATCATGACAAAGGGCTAGATTGTACGCCTGTCGTTTTCCGTGGCTTTGAACACCATGCAGGTGACAATACGATTTGGCTCTGTTCCCCACCCCCCAATTTTGAGGGAGAACTCCCTGGAGGTGGTCAGAGAGAGAGAGAGGCCTCCCAACTCTCTTCCCTTACCATCAACTTCACGAGAGGACTTGCGGCTCAACGGCTATTAGACCAATTTATTGGTAAAAATGCCGTCATGGAAAGGCATTTTTTAAAGGGGTTTCCAGCATTTACTTACTTTCATACATGAACTCTTGAGCACGCATGGACCAGAAATACATTTAATCCTCCAACAAAAATGGCAAAAACACATTCCATATTTTATAACATGCTTAAGAGTTAACAAAAAAGTTTCTGAAATAACTTTTTTATGCAAGAATGACAAAAAAATTTAATTATTAGAGTAAGCATGAAATTTCAGAATATGTAATTTACGATGTAACAATGGGCTATCCGTGGGGTTTACCCTCTTTAACTGGGTTTTTCTCCCATCCAGCCAAATTGGCATTTTGAGCTAGAACAACTTAACTCCTCGAATGAATGTCACTGCTGAATAGCATATAAATAGTCAGTGAGATAGAGAATAGTAGTTGTTTGTGGAAATTATTGCTACATTAAGAAGTTCATTAAATTCACTTAACTATGGGAAGATATTACAGGATATTTCTTTGCCGAGCTTTAGAGTTGCATCTAATTTAAGGTACGTAGCATTTAAATTAAAAAGAGTAAATTATTGCAAATATCTGTTGAAATCAGTTTGTGTCCGATTTAATGGCTTCTCAATCTTTGATGCGTTCATATTCCTCCAAGTATCTATTTAATGAGCTTGATCTCCCCTTCATCCAACACGAGGAAGAGGTATTATTGGCATGGAAAAGTTTTCATAAAGCTTGAAAGTTTATTTTCCCAAATTATAATATTTTGATAAGGGTTGTTCTTGCACTAATTCACAGAAATAAAAGTATCATCGATAGTTTTAGTTGTGGAAAGAATGAAAAATATTACTATATGTAAAATTTTATTGAAATATTATAAAAAAAAACATTAATGGGAGCACGATAATTTTTATCACGACCGTCACCAGAGCCCTCCCCTCTTCCTCCTCCTGCGTATGCGTATAAATTGCTCTTTGCCCGCGAATTTACCCTGCTTCACCTACACCTTGGCTTTTCTCTCTTGAAAGTTTATCTATCCCTGTTCTTGAGAATAAGAAGGGAAACTATAGCTTTTGACCCTCAAGTCGAAAGACTCAAAGAAAATGATAGTTTCTTCTAAAATCAGTAGATTTTGTAATTATAGATTTAAAACACGATATGTATTATTTTCAAACAAGATCATGTTTCCACCTTAAAATTAACCCGGGAGATGTAGCACGGGGCACAGAGTCACCCCAGACTCATGAAATCGTTAATTCTGGGAAAACTGTTTATTTGTTACCAATGACCTCTTGTCAGTATCCTCCTATATGACAGTTTTTACAGGATCTAAAATGTATTTGTCACATATTTCGCTTTTTTTTTGGGAGTGGCAAACGTTTTTTTTTTTTTACAATCTTAAGATACTTGTTATACCAGAGTTCCCCACGTGACCCTTTTG